AACCAAAATGCATTAGTTTTTTTTTTTTTTTTTTTTCCTTCCACAAGATGAGTTCACACTAGTAAATTTTCAGGAGTATCCAGGTCAGGAAAGGGACTAATACAGATTAACCCTTATTTGAGGCACCAATAGTATTTTAGGATATTACCTTACTGCAGAGCATTCTCTTAGAAAGGGCTTTCAAATCTCCTGGGGCTACAAGGCACTGTTTTTTGAATGAAAGGGATCAAAGCTCTTTCCTGGGTATGGGCCACGCCCTCTGATGCCTTTTAGTAGCAGTATGTTGCTGAGGTTCCTGCCTCCCTACCCTGCCCATGGCTGCTGTAGTATGTGCTGAGACATCAGCATTCTTCATAGAAGCTGGAATCACTCCTGAGTGCAATAGAAGGAAATAAGAAACCACTCTTATGCAAGGCAATGCTGGTTTGTAAGAACTGGAGCCAAGGGCTGATACTTTCCCATTTTTCCCCACAGGGAAAAGACAGTAATAGCGCTTCATGTGTGGGAACTAAGACAAATGAAAGACAGCTTCAAAGTGCCTGCTCTTCAGCAAGGAGGCAATCCAGCAAAATCTTGTTGGTCGCCTACTGCCTGCTGGACACTATGTTAATGATTTAGATATTTTTTCTTAATACTGAAAAAAAAAATTTGTGAAGTGTCACACAGCTACTGTACAAAAGAGCAATAACTCAGAAAGGCTAATTATACAAAGCCACAGAGCCAACAATTACCAGGGCTGGATTCTGAACTCAGTTCTCTGACTTCAAAAACCTTGTGCTTTCCATTCCCCTACCCAAGCTGCGACATTTCGCTCTGGCTGGTTAAACAGGCATAATGTATGAAGTTTATAACATATATTGAGTAATAAATTGGGTGAAATTATTAATAGACATTCTTGAACACATTCTTTACAAAGTGCTATTCTACAAAGTTGTAGAAAATGGCAATTTTTTTCAACTTTTATTATTTGAAAATCGACTCTAGACTCTAGAAGGAAACAATCAGTTCCACTCCCTATCTTACCCAAGAGAGCCAGCTAGAGAGCACTGACCCCCTGTGCATATGTGCACACCTAGGAGCATGGGAGGAAACTGTTAGCTTTCTAGTTATCCTTATTTTTAACTAAAAACAAGAAGGAATATGAATTTTAATAGTGGTTAATGGTTGAATTGATATTGGAACCCTCATGAGACCCTTGGCTAAGGACCGGCTATGTAATTTGTAGGGCCCACTGCAAAATGTCAAGTTCCTTCCCCAAATTTATTTTTGAAGATTTTCAAGACAGTGACAGCAAACATTAAACCAAGTGCAGGGCCCTTTTGAGCATGAGGATCTGTGATACTACACAGGTTGCCTCCTTATGAAGTTGGCCCTGGTCACCTGTCATATTCCACTTCTGAAGTGTCCTGAGGTAAGATTTATAACTCATTTATTCCCTTTTAGCATGTAAAGGAATGCATGTGGATTACATTACTTAGTTTTACCTAACCAATCTTCACAGAATTAAAGTGGCTAAAAAAGATTCCTACAAAGAGGCATGCCAGCCTAAATGAATGACAAGAAATTGGCAGGGCTGACAGTTTTCATACTCCTAGAATAAACTTGTAGCCATACTAGGAGGTAAAAATAACAACAATGTAATTGGATCTGACAAAAAACTAGATCACTTTTTTAAAAATTACAATTAATTTAAAATACGTATTTAAAACCACTTTCAAAATGGAATTACTTTGTTCTACGTGTTTATTTTCTCCTTTCAAAATCCCTGATGGTAATACGAAGCCATAGCAGTTAGCAAGGTTTTCAAAATATTGCTTTATTTGGTCTTTATCTCGTGTTTCGATTTCTCGCTTTGCTTGTGTTTCATAATTTACATAATTATATAAACTGTATTTTAAAAATAAATATATATCTGTATTGGAGTTGAATATTCAAACATTTTTCCTGAAAGGGATGTTCAGTCCCAAAAGTTTGGATTTCTCTGGTCTAGAGCAACATCCTAAGAATATTAATGTTCCATAACATGGAATTATAAGCTTGGAGTCAAAAAGGTTTGAGAGAGTCACAGTCATTTAAGTTTGGGAAAAGCTGCACACAAGGGCCCGGTCTTTGTAATTGTCAATGCATATTAGTATAAAGGCTCTAAGAAATTCTGTCTTTCTTATACTTATTTTAGCAGAGAACCCCATTTTCTCATACCTTTAACAACTTCAATGTTGCTTGTATTTTCTTGGCTGTGACTTGGAAAATACTGTTACAGCAGATCTATGTGTTTACTGCAAGAAAATCTCTATTTGTATAGCACACAAACTCCAATCCAAAGCTACAGATAGGAACATCTTGTATATTATAATTAGATGAGAGTTTGAATTTTGACTCTGACACTTATTAGTAATATTACCTCGAAATATCACTCGACTTCTTGAAACATCTGCTTCCCTATTTGTAAAGCAGAGCCAAAAATACCTAGTCTATTGATTGATTTATTGGCCTTGCTTTACACGTAAAGGATTAAATCAGGATTAAATAAGATAATATATGTAAAGGAT